AGGCTCACAGCAATCCATATCCCCAACAGCATGAAGTGTGGCTGGAGGGGTCATAGAATCAGAGAATTGTCAGGGTTGGAAGGGACCTTGAAGATCATCTAGTTCCAACCCCCCCACCATGGGCAGGGACATCCCCCACTAGATCAGGCTGCTCAGAGCCCCACGTCAAGTAACGCAGTTCCTGCTTTGAAAGGTCTGCACGCTGTCATGGCCCTGGGCCATCCAGAACTGCACTGGTTTCAAACTGCACATTTAATCTCTTCAAAATCTCAGAAACTAGAAGAACTAGAGAAAGAGGAAGAGCTGAGAGAAGCTGCTGGAGAATATGACAGTGAACCAGAAAGTGAAGATGAAGAAATGATGGAAATCCGGCAGTTGGCAAAACAGATCCGAGAAAAGAAGAAAATGAAAATTCTGCAGTCAAAGGAAAAAGATACTCGAGGTCCAAGGATGCCCAGAACAGCCAAAAAGGCAAGTATAGAACATAGTCACAAAACCTTGTGGATGTATGAGAGCTTTATGAAAACATCTTAACGCTGTTCAGTAGTGGAACTGATCACTTTGTCTCACGTTTGGTCCTCTCCCTTGGAAGAAGCTACTTGCTTCCTTGTGTCCTCCTGGGAGTTGGGGTCACTACTTGGTTGCGGAGGCCAAACCAAACAAGTCATAGTAGCCCTTTTTTGTTTTCTGTCACACAAGTCTTTTGTAAAATTCTGTATATATTGCAGAAAAAGTTTAACTGGGTTGCTGCATTGTATATTGTTATTGATGTTTTAATTGTTCATATATTTAAAATTCAAATTTATTTAAAATTAATTTATTTAAAATTCAAATAATTAGGAGAATTATATGATTACTGAAAATCACAATCCTGTAAAATTTGTTATGAGGCCTTCCGTATGCTGGAAAAGATATTGTGTGTTTCTTTTTGGAAGCTAGGGATCTCTCTAATGTCAGGGTCCAGGACGATTGCGAAGAAATAAACTGATAAATAGACATTCTGAGAAAATGAATCTAGCTGATTTTGCACCCAATCTAGCTGATTTTGCACCCAGTATTTTTTATCTTCCCCAAAGTGTGTGCCTTTTGGGAGAGAAGGAAGCATTTCTGACTGAAGTACCTCTCGGTCACCTTCCTCCCCAAAAGGCAAAACTCTTGGAAAGATCTTTAGGGAGTGCTGGAACATCGCAATCCTGTGAAGAAGCATTTATGAGTGAAGAGAATTAAGTTGCAGTATATGAAACGTGGAGTTATGACTTTATCTGCTTGTGGGATGTGCCAGAGGAAGAAATCTGTAGTGAATAGGCTTATGGTGGTATATTAAGACCAAAACTAAGATAGAACAATACTTTTCTGAAAGAAACGTCTCTCAACTGTCCTTTTACAGGTCCAGCGGAAGGTGCTAGAGCAAGAAATGACTGATCTTGGACTCGACATGACTAATAAAGATGATGTAAGTTTTTGCGAACTAAGCACAGTGTTTATCTGAAAGAGATTAATTTCATGATGTGATCAATTTCTTGGAGCGCTTTTGAAATGTGCGTTACAGTTGGCACAAGAGAGGTGGGATCTGCTAAAGATTAAATAGGAAACCCAGGTGAGGCAGCCAATACTGGAATTTTTGAGTGATGTGATCAAAACATGTTGGGTAGGCTGAAAAACTAAAACTAGCATGTATCAAGAATCACATAGATATATATGCATTGCTTCCTGTTAGAACTCCTGGAATAGGATTCAGTAGGGGTTTGGCTAAACATACTTTCTTAATTTTCAAGTCTGCTTTGTTGGGTGAGACACTACTATGTCAGAAATAGTAATGAGAGATCAGGCTTATCTCTTTACAGTTCATCAGATCTGTAGGTTGTAATTGAAGTTTTTGATGACAGCTGGCATCTTTGGATGTGAGGCAGCTGAAGTACTTCAAACATAAATTTGCCTTCAGGAGACCTTTCTTTTTATCAGAAATGTAAAAAAAATAAAAGTCCATTTTGTACAGCAATCCAGTAGTATTACAGCTACCTATATCTGGAGGCCTCAAATTCTTTAACTAAACAAAGAGTTAGGAAACAAGGAATGTCCCCACTACACGTCTGAAGCCAGCGTTTATGCTTCTCCGAGTTGATGTGCCATGTCGATACAGGAGCAGTCTCAGTGATGAGGAATTTAATACTTCTGCTCTAGGATAAGTCTTCACATCTAAAATCCTTCAGGGCTTTGCTAATTTGTCTTTTTATCCATTACTTATGAATCCACTCAGAAAAAATAATCAGAAAACTGGAGTTAATAATTGTGAAAAGATTAGGCTAATATTCACCCAAATTTGAATGTTACTCTAGGACAGAAAGGCAGTGACCAAGAGTTGACAAGGTCATCATGTTACTATGGAATAACCAATATAATGTCTCACAGCAATGCCCTTCCTGGATTTTTGTATGAGTCTAATTAGAAATGGAGCATGTTTGATCTGATCCTTTCTGGTTTTAATGATAAAAATGATGGTTTGGATTTCAGGCACATTATGTGAGAAGGTCCCGTAGTGTTACGAGGAAACGTAAACGTGATGAGTCTGAAACCCCCAAGTCAGTGGCACGCAGTCGCAGCTCCTCTCGCACACCACGGGACGTTTCTGGTCTTCGTGATGAAAAGGTTTGTTAAAGTCTTTAACCTTTATAGCAGTTAAACCAGCATGACTGTACTTAGACCAACTTCTGGGAAACTTCATACTAGGCTGGTTATGTTTGTCCAGAGTTCATCTTTCTTCTCTTTGCAGCTTCATCTTCTGTTCATAGGAACTCCCTGTACTTCAGAAATGCCTAGTTCGTTCTTCACAATAAGGCATAATAATACAGACTAAGAAAGTATGTTGTAAATTTTTGTCTCTAAATGGAAGCATGAAGGAAGAGTTCTACAGACTCTGGAATTCTACCTTCAGTACGTTAGGAATTCCAGGGATAGCGCCATCATACTGTTAGCGTGCTGGAAGAGGAAGAGATTTGCTACGGAGGTCACGTGTCACTTGCAGTGATACTGTTCCAGTTGCAGATGGTGGCACGTGTCAGCTGTTGGTTAATGTGTTAAAAGTTACCTGGCTTAGCAATTCTTTTTTAAAAGGCAAAGCTGGTTACCTGAGCTACTGAGGAAGTTACTCTGCATGTTTGTTTGTTTTTAAACAGATGGTGAAGAAGGCCAAGACTATGGCAAAGAAAGCTCAAAAGAAAATGAATCGCCTGGGCAGGAAAGGGGAGGCAGACAGACACATATTTAACTTGAAGCCAAGACATCTGCTGGCTGGAAAGAGAAAATCTGGTAAAACACAGAGAAGATAAGCAGACTTCTGAATTTAAACTAATAAAAAGTTAGTTTAGTAAAACTAATTTTTAGTCCTGTTCTCCTTTTTATTCATATAGAGTGTTAAAAAAGTACATGGTTTGGGTTAGCGGTTAAGATACTTGAAGCTCAGAGAGGGAAAGTTCTAAGACCTTGATCTTACAGACTTAGATTAGATATTAGGAAGAAATCTTCACAGTGAGGGGGGTGAGGCACTGTCAGCTTCAGCATATTGAAACATTATGTATAAACCCCCATTACTTCACTCATCTGCTTTGTGTAATAAAATTGGTATTTAAAACATACTATAATGCTGCAAAGTTCACTGTTGAGAAAAACCTGAATGTAAAAACTTTTAAGGTATTTTGAAGAATTGTTTACTGAAACTTTGCTTTCAGCTTCCTTTTGCACAGCATTTCTACCTCAGGATATGCTGTCAGCTTTTGCTCCAAGCTGGGCAGTTGAACTAGAAAAGTAGAACTTTCTTAAAATTAATTTATGCCCTTGCTACCCGCCATCATCCTGCTCAGCAACATGTAATAGGCCTGTTGTCTGTAGTCTAGTAATGACAGTTTATTCTCCGTGTGGCTCAAAGTCTAGAACAAAAACAACGGTCCAAGGTTGTAGGTTAGGTATTTTAACAATAATCTTAAAAGTAAGATAATCTTTTAATTAAAAGTATTTTAAGTATTTTAAAAGTAATATATTACTTGAGCAATGTGGCAGATGGCACTGTGTCACTATTCCCTCACCCACTATTACTTGCTTCACGACAATACATCAGCTCAAGTGAACATACATCACCCTTGGCTGTAAAATGTTGAACCACCTAGTTAAAACCCTGGTTTATGTGCAAGGAGAAGTGGTATGAAAAACATCCTATCTCATCAAGACTCCTCTAGTAGAAGTTAACTTAAGAAATCATGGTTGAGTGGTCTGCTAATGGAATATATCATAGTTAAGCTTTTTGGGATGGGGTATATACTCAGTTGGAATTAAGATACCCTTAATTATTTGTCTTATTAAAAAACCCTTCTATTTGACTCGTTACTAGCAACAGACTGCAAGATCAAAAAGGATTAGCTCTTGCACTCTATCATACTTGCTATGTTAGATAGGTACCATTTACACTTGGTATAATTAACCATTATATTTTATTTAGAGATATCCAGTACATGGTAATCAACTAACCAGAAAAGGGTGGGGGGAAAAAAAACCAGACAACCACCAATGTTTATTATCTCTATGACATATTGCAGCACTTCAAAGTGAAGCTCAACCCTCACCGACAAGCCCATTACTTAAGCTTTTATGTGTCTGGTTAATTATAGAGTACAGTAGCTGAAGGGATTTGCTTTCTGCAATTAAAATCATCCAGATTACTTTGATTTCATTGTTTCTTGCCTGAAGGCAACTAGTCTTCTCAGCATTAATGCAGAACCCCATTTCTAATCACTACTGGAGAAGCCGTTGCCAAGTACAGCTGGGAACGTACCAGCAGAACCGAATGAGCTGGACAGGAGGCGCCCGAACTCCAGTGCCAGCACAGCACGTGTAGTTACACAAGGGTGTAACGGTGGGCACGCACAGGGCTGAGGATCTTCTGTATCACACCAGGTTACGGAGAAAGACAAATGCAGGGGGTTTCTTACGTTACTGTTCCCATTTTACATGAGATTAAACTCACTCAAGAGGAACAGGGTTGGGAGGGGAAGAGGAGGTAAAGACAAGAAAATAAACCACATTGGCTAAAACCATCTCTATAGTTAAACATGCTCTCAGGGGACCAATTTTCCGCACTTGAGTCACCACAGTGTTAATGAGGCAGCACATCACTGCTAGCCTTCAGCATCTTTTACCCCAACTAATTACATTCGGTGTATTTTTTCATGATCAACAAATTTGTTCAGGTTAGATAAGTTATCCCACCACTTAAAAAGAAAGGTCTCTGCAATGAGTTTAAACCATGGAGTAATCTTAATTTCATTCTTGGAGGCTTTGTCCAAGAGCTGCTTCAGTTCTTTCTGCGTCACGTAGCAGTGGCTTTGGATCTCATTGGGGTCAGGGTTCACTGTTACATCCTTCTGTACAAATAAGATATAGTCTATCTCATGTTCACCCCAGATCCCATCAGACTTGGCCTTGTAGTGAATTCGTGTCAGATAGGAGATTTCTTCTGGAGGTACCTACAACCAAAACACTTGTCAGAACCGGTGCCATACCAGAATAGTTGCACTGCTAGGCATCACAGGAGAATTAGCAGCTATCACCCTCTTCCTTCAAAATTGTTTCTCCCCCAAATGTACAACTGCAATGTACTTATTCACAAAGAATTACTCTGAAAAAAATTTTAATGCACTGGGTTGACATGAATTGCATAGCACTTCCCTAGCCAGACTGACCCTCCAGTATTTTGAGCAGATTTCTTCTATACAGTAAGTTTTGAATAATGTTTACCAGACCTTACCACACACTTCTACTGAAGCATTGCTGAACACTTGCCCCCTACCCCGAATTCCCAAGGGAAGACTTGGGAGTCTTCACTAAGCCAAAGCCAGAACCACGTCCTGACAGACCACACGTAGTCCTGATGTGCCAGGGATCAGTGTGAGCTGCAGACCGGGTAATTAATCGTGGGGACAACCAAACCATCTCATTTGCTTCCTCAGTATTGTACAACACGAATGTAATTAATTACAAAACATGGAAAGAGATTCGACGACAACTGTAATTCAGCCAGCTTCACTCTGCTCTCTGTGCACTCCCCAACTGCCACCAGAAACGAAGGTACTGGAAGCCGTTTGCATGATGGCTCTGGGAGAAACGCCAAATTCCTGGGCCACCCTACTTCCCACAGGAAATGTGGGATTACAGAGGGACTCTAGATGGATGCTGGCAGCAGCTCACAGCAATGCCCTGCAGGAGCAGCAGCTGCACAGAACGCGGGCAGCACTGCCAGTGGCCTGGAGGAAGGGCAGACCATGTCCTTCCCCGGGGCACGCAGGGTAGCCCACACGGCTGAAAAACACGCGGGCACCCACAGCCAGACCTCAAGCAGCGCAATCCTTCATGACCTCGTGATTTACTCTTTGGCTCGTATTTAGTTTTGAGCAGTGAAATGCTCTAAAATACCATTTAGCAATACCAGCTTTTCAGACTCTGGAATATTGACTAAGAAGTCTCAAATTCACCAAGTCCTCTACATCTCCAAAGTTAAATTCGTTTTTAGGTTTGGGCTGACCCTGTCTGCCAGATGTGGTTAGTCTGTAAATAGGCAAACACTGGCAAGAATTCCTGTTTCTCCCTCCTTTACCTGCTCCATGGGAATTCCTAACTCCGCTTTCAGTCGTCTCTGTGCTGCTCTCCGAACGCCGATGGCACCGTTCTCTTCCAGTTCTAGCGGATGGCTTAAAGGATGACTGCAACACGTGTTGGTAAAACAACCTGCAAGAAGTTTGTATTGGTAAACTTTTGACATGTATAAGGCATCAGGAGAAAAAAACCAAACCACTACAGAATACCCAGAAACGTGGGATACTTATTTCAACACATCACAGCTTGGTTTCTCACGTGCAGAGAAGGATCAGAGAGGAAGCAGGATATTTTACCCTCTTATTTTTCTTTACATATTTTGCACCAAGATTTGCTTCTACCGAGTACTGCTTTGCAGGTTAGTGTTTGATACACACAAAGACATCCATTCTCATGCCCAAGACAGAGAGCTAGTTTGTAAAGACCTTGTTAAAATTAATTTTGCGAGTTTATATACAACAGAATACTGGAAATATTCCCAGAGCTTTAAGACGAGCTGACGGTAAGGAGAAGTAGGTAAACAGTTTACGCATGTGTTTAAAAGACAGATCCTCTACGCTGTTTCAAGCGTATTAAAAATTATTTCTCAGTTATGTAGAAGAACTGTGACTGGCCAACCTTTTATCTGTAGGCGTCTAGCTCAGAAGCAGCTAAAATAGAGTCAGACTACCTGCAAACTACACTCAAGCACTTTGATCAGTCAGCAGTCAAGGGAAAAATTAAAACACAATCTCTAAGTAAAGATTCCTTTGGAAGATAAAAAAAGGTCAAGATGAAGAAGGTTAGAAACACTTGAATTGTTTTGCACCTGAAATTCTGAAAAAGACAACTTTATGCTTCCTCCAATGTGTCTCATTTAAGCTACTTTTCCTTTGTTCCACTATTTATTTTTACGCTTCTCTGTTGGCCTTCAATAGCAATAGTTCAGGAGCCTTCAAAAATTCTCTACTGTATAGTTTGGCCACACAGTCTCTCACTTCTACAACGAAAAAGGCACTTGTGTTAAGACACACGCAGACAAAGGTCCGCAGATGTCACTGAGGCACAACGCAACTGCTTCCAAGCTGCAGGGCCCCACGACAGATCAGCTACGTGTCTCCACCAGTGGAACAAGAGTCATCTCCACAGGTGCCAGAGCAATTGCTTCAACTACAAGTACATCTTGCAGCAGAGGAGGTAAAGGACACCCGCTCTGCACTTGCATAAGCAGGACCAAACACGTCAGGGAACAATCATCTCCCAAGAACATAGATAACAATAAGCTGGCATTCCCATTATCTTGCTTCATCCACAAGATAAGTATATCTTGAATTCTTAAACGGATTTAGAAGTAACTCCTAAAACCTCAGAATAAGCTACCCTGCAAGATTAGACTGGTATATTTTTTTAAAACATTGATTTAAATAAAACATTTTGAGAAATATGTGTTTCAGAACTAACCTGGAAACGTAATTTTTGCATTTGACCTCTGCTGCAGCAACAGTTTATTTTCTGAATTAAATAAGAAAACACTGAAAGCTCGGTGCAGTAAACCTAAAAACAAACAAACAAACCACAGAAAGCTATTTAAGAGAAGGAAAAAAACAACATAAACCCCCCAGAGTTTAAGGGCTTAGGATGCCCTCATTTTTGAGTATCCTGAATTTAAAATTCATACACATTATAAAGCAAGCATTTGATAAAAAACTCAGCGAGTTATTATTGAGGTTTCTCTGTCAGCTTATGCAAGCTGACATATGTCAGCAATGCAAAACATTATGAAATTAGAAAAGTGCTAAGAACAATAAGGCAACAGAAGAGTTCTATTGAACTTGTTCAGTTCACCATTCTGCAGATATACGTTTGAGCAAGCTTCTAAGGATGAGCTTTACGGATGCTCAGCATCCATAAATTTATTATCAAAAAGAGACGACTTGAAATTTCATGCAATTTTTAGGGCTTTTTCAAGAAGCTTCAGAAATCGCAAAACTAGAAAACTCCTCTAAAACAGTGCAAATTCTGTTTTCTGCAACTTTTGTTATTCCTCACTCTTCAAGATGTTTCCCCTGAGTACAGAAAAGGAGGTCACAAACTACTGCGAGCCATTCACAAATCTGATCAACCTCAGCTGCAACCCAAACCCAATTAGAATGACATCAATTAAAGAAGTCTTTCCTAGCAGCAGCATTTGAAGTAGAACTGTGTGTGAACTACTTAAAAAAAATCAGTCTCTTCTATTTGAAAAGAACTCAGCAACGAAGCAAGTGGCATTCTTCAGAAAAAGCTACACAGATTCAGGTACCTACAACAGGAAAACAATACTATTTCATCATCAAAACACAGATCAAAAATACTTATTGAGACAAAGAGATTATATCCACAATCACACATTTCTCTCTATTGCTGCCTCCAACTGTGCATTCCCCCGTACAGAAGTATTTTTAAAATAAGATATCGTGTACACCGGGGGAGGAGAGAGGTGTGGGCAAGTACTTGCTCTGATTCGATCCACACCTGCCTGACATTAAGGCTTTAATTTAATTGTCACTATATTTCTGAAAACATTCATTCCACTTAAAGGTTCAATTAGAAGGTAAGCAGGCTGTACCTCTATCAATGTTTTCATTCAAGTGACAGTTTTTCTTGGTCTCCGCTCCAATCTTCTTGTCATTTTCATCAATGAGGATGCACATCTCTGCCAAGAGCTGCACCTGCTTCTCATCCAGCTGGTCCGTGTTTACTTCAGGCATAGTGACGGCAGCACAGGTGCTACTGAAAAAAACCCAACAAACAAACAAAGAGAAGAGTCATTCACGTCCTAATAACGACAGCTCTAAGGTTCTGGGCAGGGCGTGAGAAATAATCAAAGCGCTGGGTTTCCGACAGGGCATAAGCTGTGCGCACACAGTATTTTGGGAGTTTTAAACGCTTTAGGATCTCTGAAACCTCCCACCCACGATGTTGCACTGTGACGGGCAGGCGCTGAAAAGATTTATTCTTTTGCGTTTCTCTGAAACTCCGGGCAGCAGCTGCTGCGCACAGACCTGTCAGGCCGAACGTTCTGACGGGCGAGGGGTGCACGAAACCCACTCT